ACATAAAACCCTAGAATAAGTAAACTAACCTATAGTGACAGCAGATCAGTAGGTTGGTGGTTGTCCAGAGAAAGGGACAGAGGATCATGAGGAGAGAAAAACAAAGAAATTTAGGGGGGGGGGGGTTGATGGATCTTTTCATTCTCTTCATTGTTATGATGGGTTCTTGGGTGTGAACATGTGCCAAAAATGATTAAATCATACACTTTAAACATGAAGTTTCCTGGATTGAATTATACCTCAATAAAACTGTCTTTAAAAAGGGCTACCTGAAATATATAATATCAATTTAAATTGTCCCTTTTCCATTAGCATACCGAAAATTTTTCCTGTAGCAAACTTAGTCATGTAACTGCTTCAAATACACCTTTCCCTTTGACATTTACTCTATATAAACACAACTGTAAAAGTAAATTACTGGACTATGGATGTGGCTCAAGTGGTAACGTGCTCACCTAGCATGTGCGGGGTGCTGGCTTTGTTCCTCAGCACCACATAAATGTTGTATCCAACAAAACCTAAAAAATAAATATTAAAAAAATCAATCTCTCTCTCTCTCTCTCTCTCTCTCTCTCTCTCCCTTAAAAAACACTAAATTACTATTGGATAGAAAAATTAAAAAATTGATCTCCCTGGATTGCACAGTTGTCTGTTTACTGGCTTCAAATGAAGTCTGAATGTTTAGCTAAACTACCAGTACTGAAGGCTCAGTCACTGAATACTGAAAACACAACGTTTGAAAGCAGCCCTAAAGCAATTCATTAATTCAAATAAATGTTTACTGCACAAGTGCTCTCTGTATGTTATGGTTAAAAGGGCTGGATTTTATGCAGAATGGACAGTACCAAATTACAAAGTAATTCCATGTGTCTTTTGGAATAATTTGTAAGGTTTAGCAATGCTTAAATCACATGATGAAAGAATAGCAATGGAAACAAACCACAGACAGCCAAGAACAGTGACTCTTCTAATTAAAGGTTAAAATAATAAATTTCAATAACATGACTAAAGAACTGTATACTAACAGCTTAGAATTCCAAAATGACAAGTATCTCTCATATCTTAAGTGAACTCAGAACAAAGATTTAAAATTACTTCCACACACAGCAAGTATGGAGTCTGCCAGCTCTAAGTAGTCATTCTGGCTTAGAAATATAAAAGGATGTGAAAAGACAGACCCCAAATTATTATTTTTTTAAATACCAATAACAAATAGGAAGTTTTAAGTAAATCCTCTAATAGCTGGTATCAAAGATAATATTCTGTAACAGCATATTCTTCATTACTGAACTCAGCTAACTGGACCAAGAATGGAAATTACTATATCCTATAGAAGATACAAGGTTAATTATTCATCACAAATAAAACCATCCATAGCTCTGCCATAATATACAGGACCTTTTACAGCATAGCAAGGGCAGCCATTTGAAAACCTTCCACTATCTTTTTCCCTTACAATGATACTACCCTTTAAGGTTCTTTATCTAAAAGAACCCAACATCTCCTCCATTTGTGTATAATGAATTGAAGCATTTTCTTCTGTCATGTATAACTGATTACAACTAATGAATAATTTAAAAAAAGAACCCAGGAACTCATGCCAGGCACCTAAAAATCTATAAAAATCACTTGTTAGTGGTAACTGTGGATGGTATGTGCTTCAGATTCCCTTAAAAACCTACTCTTCTTCTAAATTTGTTCAGGTTCTTCAAAACTGTCATGTTTTGTGTTCTCAAAGGTACAATTTTGCTAAACAATGAGCTTTTAATGAATTTGGACTGACATGATTTCTCTACATGTCTTTCAAACACATCATACCCAAATTCATATCTACATTAAACACTACTAATACTGAGTGTTCAGTAACCATGGAATCTAGACAATGAGTTCTGCAAGCACAATATCCAAGTATTCTTATCTTCACTGAGAAGCAATATCCACTAAACAAAAGATGAAGACAACCATAGTATTCAGTTATTGCATCTTCTATTTATTGATTTTTTGGAGTTTTACAAATGAAAATGGTTTGCTTTAGGTAAATTGCTGAAAAAAAGCAAAGACATTTAAACACTTATAATTAAAATTATGAAATGTTACATCTCATCTCTGATACTGATTGTAATTAATATTGTGAAATAACAACTGCTACAGCTTGAGTTCCATTGAAGCTAAGAGCCAATTTGTGGTTCCTCGACACCTTCACTGTCAATTACTGCCCTCCTGTAGCATTTTAATTTGAAGAAAACCACTGTATCTTACAGTAATTTAAAAAGCTGAGAGGATATAACTTAATTTGAATCCCTAGAAATTTCTATTACAACTTGCTAAAAGACACTGCTGCATCTGAAAGTTTTTTGGCAAAAAAAAATAAGTAAAATTTTTTAAAAGACTCACATATACTGCAGGGAATAGGAAGATTTGAGACAATAAACATAAATGTTAAAAACACATTGGTGGGCTGGGGTTGTGGCTCAGCAGTAGAGCACTCACCTAGCACATTCGAGGACCTGGGTTCAATCCTCAGCACCACATGAACATAAATAAATGTATTGTGTCCAATTACAACTAAAAAAAGAAATAAACATTTTAAAAATTGCTCTTCTATATTCCAGGGTTCTACATGCATGGATTTGACCAACTTCAGATAGAAAATATTTTGGAAAAAACATGCTTTTGTTCTGAACATGTACAGACTTTTTGGAGGGTCATTATTCCCTAAGTAATACAACATCACAATTATTTACACCATATTTATACTATATGAGACATTGTAAATAATTTAGAGATGATAGAGAGTACTTGGAACAATGGGTATAATTTACATGCAAATATTATTTCATTTTATATAAGAGAGTTTAGCATCTGCAGATTTTGGCATCCAAGGAGGGTTCTGAAGCCAATTTCCCACATACACTAAGGGACAAACAAATATGCAACTGACTATGACATTGTGTTATATGAGGGTGGTAGGACAAAAATATTTAGCCTCTAAGTTAATATAACTATATTTTTGCCTCAAATTTTTAAAAGAAACAAGCAGACTCTCCCAAGTAGGAGAGTAATATTACTAATTTATATAAACACAATTATGTTTTTATGAAATTTAAATAATAAAAATTATGGCATACCCAAGCTAAAAATACTTTGGCTTTACTGAATATGGAGTGAAGACAGAATTAGAAGCACAGTCATCTCAAAATTAAAGAGTAAAAATATCAAAGTTGAATTCCATTTTAGACTGGTATTCCAATAACTATTAAGAGATAGGAATCAGGAGTCAGATTTCAAGATGCCAAAATCTGAAATCTGTAATCATTTTATTTTTGAATAAGAAATGGAACTACATTAACTTCTGCTACTCAGAATATACAATATTGATATCAACTGAATTCTTACTTTTAAGGTGAATTTTCAGTCCTTTCCATTCACAAATAAGACCTGATTTATTAAGTTCCCTGATTTGTATCTCTGGAGTAGATCACAGCACATTTTTTTAGTACAATATATATTGTTCCAACTGTTTTATAAACATCTTTTGTGAGAGTTTACAGGAGTAATCTGAAATCACTTCCAAGATTTCATCCTATAACTCAGTTATTCTTAAAAGAAAATAGAGTTTCTCTGCCTTATCACTTTCATTTCGCTATTTATCACAAGTCTGATTCTAATATGCCCCTCACACACACACACACAATCACTGGCAGGATTATCAACAGATAATTACTGGCATTAAATTCTAGGCAGGGCAAAAAGGCACAATTTTGTTACTTAGACATGAAAATTACAGGTCTACACCACAGCTGAACTTTCATAAAAGTCTTTTAGCCAATAAAAATAAATCTCAAGACTTATCAACAACCTAGCTCTACATAGGGCTCCTAAATCTATATTTCTTGATTAAATGATCCATCCTGTGCCTGCTATGCATGGCCACCTATATGCATTCATTCACAGATGTGCCAAGTACAGTAATGCTAGACTCTGGAAGTCATAGCAAAGAAAATAACCAGTCCCTAGAGAGGCTTCTATTAGTGAATGGAGTCAAGTGAATAGTCACAGGAACATAACATCTGGACAGTCACATCCCAAACTAAGGTGGTCTAAAAGTAAACTCGGTTTACTTCCTGCATTCTAGTCTACTCACTTGTGAACCTTGATCTTGCACAGAAATGCTATCATCACAGGCTATTCAGGCCACAAACTTCTGAGGTATTCTCAACCTTCTGCTTCAAATCTTAATAACTGCCCAAGCCAGCTTGAATTACAAAAAACAAACAGATGGCTCTGCTCCACAATGCTTCCCCAATTCTGGGAATGCTAGTGATGATAACAGGAGTTCCTAGCAAAGCTTCTGCTATAGCAGGAGGCAATAAAACCAAGCCTAAGAGTAATCTTGGGGGCTGGGGTTGTGGCTCAGTGGTAGAGAACATGCCTAGCATATGTAAGCCACCAGATTTGATTCTCAGAACCACATAAAATAAACAAAAAAAGTTCATTAACAACTAAAAAATATACATACATAAAAAAAAAAAAAAGAGTGCTCTTGGGATTTTAAAAAGCACAGCTGGGAGGAGACACTCTTTCCTCCCTCTTGTTGGAGAGCCTGAGGATGACCCCTGCTCTGTCACTTTTAACCCCAAGGGCCTAAAATCATGCTGGCTTCTGTGGCATTTCATTCCTTTGAAACCATCTTCAGAATTCTTCCTTCATTAGTAATCCTCCTTTTAACTTATGATGATTGATTGCAGCCAAGCATCCAGATTTGCACCTTCTAAAAATTTCCAGTCCATGTATCCACCTCAACCATCAGTACACTAGCTCAGATCTTCATTGGCACTTATCTGGACTAGTCCAACAGCCCCACGATTCTCTTATTTCTAGTCCTCACAACCACCATCTGTGATACAATAACAGGAATAACCATGTTCCCCCCACACACCCAAACTCATCAATAGCTCTGCGTTATTAAAGAAAGATCTAAAATCTTTAACAGGACTCACCCCACTCTCTATACACAATCTTCTCTCCAGCCAAACAGCTGTTCCTCCTTGACTCACATTTTAGCTCTGATTACCCAGAACTGCTTGGCTTTGGGCTGGACCTCAGATATCCACATCCACCACACTGAATTAATTAGTAAGTAGGAAGTTCCCATTCTTGAAAACCTGAAGAAATCAAAGAAAAGTGGCTTTCTTTAGGTTTGCTTCTAGGTATCAAAGTCATCACAATGATGTATACATTTCATTACATCCATATCCATAAATATTGCTGTTACAGATAACTGGTGCCAATGTACACAACACATAAAGCAGCAAGTGTCTGAAAGGAAGAATCAAAGATTATAACAAAAGGTTCTGATCATCCATGCATCTCTGCAGACAGAGCACCAGCACTGACTCCCTGTGAGGATTTCTCACCCAGACAGTGCCCCTTATCCTCCACTGGTGCCACTACCCTCTGTAGAAATCTGTAGCCTGGCACATGACCTCTTGTTTCTTAAGGACAGGACCATGTTCCCAGCATCCCTGGATCTCCAAGCCCAGTCAAGTCCTCAGAATACATTAGACACCTATAAATATTTACAGAATAATATGTGCATTCTGAGCTAAGCAGAACACTCAAAGACATTTTCTGATTTTAAAAAGGGCACTAGATACCAGGTTTGAAATCTTGGGCTTCTCCCATTAAATTTCATGAAAATATTTGAAAACACAATTTTTTTTTAATATCTCTAAACCATTGGGCTTCTCCCATTAAATTTCATGAAAATATTTGAAAGCACAAAATTTTTTTAAATATCTCTAACCCATATTAAATTTTTTTAATATCTCTAACCCATTTCATTAACCATTGTGTTAATGAAATGACCATTATTTCTGTAGAAAAAAATTAATGGGAGATTTGAGAAATAAGGTCTGTTGTGGTTTTTTTTTTTAACTTATAGAAAATTTCAGAGAAACTGCATAAGGAGACAAAAAACTGGTAAATTAGACTCCAACAAAAAATCTACATGCTTCATAAGATGTGAAAAGACTACAGAATAAGAAAAATTTTATACTTCACATATCTGGTAAGAGTACATCCAGAATACATCAGAACTATTACAACTGAACAAGAAAAGAACAGCTCAATTTTAAAATGGGCAAAAAATCTGAAGAGTCATCTGTCTAAGAAAAATAAACAATAGCTAACAAGTACATCAAAATATTCAATTTAATTAGTTATCAGGGAAATCCAAATCAAAACCACAATGAGATGCCACTTCATACCCATTAGGATGACTACTATGGAAAAATACCATGGCAAAGTGTTCGCAAGGATATGGAGAAATGGAATCTTCAAACATTGCTGATGGGAATGTAAAATGGTAGAGTCACTTTATAAAACAGTCTGGCACAGTTACTTATGGCCAATAAATTTCACTCCTAAGTATCTACCCAAAAGAAAACATAAGTCAACCTAAAAATAAAAATATTCATAGCAGCATGATCATAAGAACCACAAAGTGCAAGTCACCCAAATATCCATCAACTGATAAATGGATAAACAAACTGAAGTGTATCCATATAACAGAACACTATTTAGCAATAAAAAAGGAATAAAGTTCTGTTATGTGCTACCTCAAAAACAGGCTAAGAAGCCAGACACAAAGGGCCATATACTGAATGATTACATTTCTATAACATGTCCAGAACAAGTAAATCCACAAAGAGAGAAAGGAGATTTATAGCTACATGGAGCAAGAGTGAGTGGAGAGTGATGACTGAAGGGTATGGGTCTTCTTTGGAGATGACAAAAGTGTTTCAGAACTAGACAGCAGGGTAGGCACACAACTATGTGAATATACTAAAACTCAGTGAAGTGCACATTTCAGGAGTGACCTTGATGGTAATGTGAATTATATATCAATAAAGCTGTTATTTTTTTAAATGGCTGCACAAAGTCATATAGTAACACCTCTGCACAAGGCTCTGGTGAATCACTCTGCCTGTGACAGAATAATCTGTTATAAAAACATACAATCTGTTCAAATGGGGAAATAATCTATGTTCCTACCAATAAATCCCTATTGCAACCAATCACAAAACCAGATCCAATGTAAAAAGAGCAAAGAACAAAAGAGCATGCAATTCACAATTAGCTGGCAGGTTACAGAATGAAACTAACAAAAGACTACAAAAAGAAAAATGTTTATTAAGACTATCCAGTTCTTATCAATTACACGGATATAAAAAAAGTCAAAATCCTGTATACTCATAAAAAAAAAAAATCTGCCAGCTTCTTTATTAGCACATAGCAAGGAAAAACAAGCATACTCTCCTATAACCAAACTAACATCCCACAGAAGGTCTGTTTGTACTTGGCAGCATGAACCTTTTATTTTGGAGTGCTGCTAAATTAAACAAGCCTATGTTGTATTGAACACAATGAGCCAGACACCCTGTCATGCTCCTAGAGTTCATTAGTTGATGCTGAGGAACATTAAAAATAAAAAGGATAGTATGAATGAGGGCAGGGGTGGTGAGAGGATAGAGTTATTGTCAGTCTTTTCAATATTTCCATTATCTATAATAAAACAATGCAAACAGTCTAACAACTTTCTTCTTTTTTTTCTTTTTTTGTGGAACTGAGGATTGAATGACACATGGATGTACTATAAAGGGGCTACACCCCCAGACCTTTTTATTTTAATACAGGGTTTCATTAAGTTGTTGAAGCTGGCCTTATACTATTGATCTTCCTTTTGCAGCCTCTGAAGTCGAATACAACTTTCTAAGATTCTACCAATACCCTTCTTTGTATGCATAAGAAAGCACTGGAAATTAGAGATAGAAAAATCTGAATTCAAGTGATAATTTTTTGTTTTTATTTTTTTAAACCTGCTAGCTACATGCCCAAGGACAAATTTCACAATTTTACCAAGTCCTTGTTGTTTTGAGAACAAAATGAAGTAATATTGCACACAAAGAGCACAGTGCAATGCTCAATCCACAGCCCACCACCAAAATCCTGACCGTTCACAACTCTTCACAGCAAATACTCATTTCAGAATTTATACCAGAATAGGGGTAATTAATATTGGCCATCCTTCTACCTTGTAAACATCTAAAGATCTATGAAGATTTCACATTGAATGAATAACCTTCCTCCTCTATTCCCCTCCCACAGAGGTTTTTTGAAAAGCTATCAATACTCTAAAAATATTAAATCACAGCATGAAACAAAGCATTTATTCACCTAAAAGGTATTTAAAAGTACTGAACTGAGAGACAGAAAGACGTGGAGAGAAACACTCTATTAGAAAGAAATGCCTATTTTGCAGTGCAATAATCTGGTAATATGGTAATCTTTCCATAAAGATTGATGCAATATAATTTCCAAGTGTCAGTAATCTGTTTTTAAGGTAAAAGAAAAAAGAAGTGGGATGGTTTCAAGCACCAAGAAAAGATGTGGGAAGATATACTTTCTCATCGACAGCAATTAATGTTTGAGTGATGGCTTCTTGAATGTTCAGACTGAAAATTTGTTATATTAGAACAGACTCAAATATATCTAAAACAAAACACAGGGGGTTTAACATACACAAACACAACCTGCACCTAGGTGTCCTCTCTAAACAAACCAAAGAAGGAAAAGCTTGTGTGAATTTCCAATTGCACTGCAATAGATAAGGTGTGGGGAAGGGGATAGTGGTTTTCAGCCATATTCCCATGCTGGATGTCCAATTAAAGACAGCATCTAGACTCTGTAGTAATAGACTTGCTCTGCCTAGCTCCACACAAATTTGCATTATGTCACACACTGGACAAAACTTTCAGGGTTAGGAGGAAGGAAATTTCTCAGGGGGATGGCATGTTCAGAACTTTGGGAGTTTCACTAAGCTCTGAACTCATTATGGACCTTGTGCCCCAAAGATACTGTTATTCCCTCTCCTTTCTAAAACTCCACTCATAAGACTTTGAGTTAACAGTGCCCCTTGGGGAGATCTGGTCAGTTGCAGAGTCCACAGAAGGAAACCCTGAGTGGCTCTCATCTACACTGTACACCAGCACTTGGCATCTCTCCTCCCACTGCAGCTCAGTACTACCACCCTGATTGCAAAGCTGTTTTATCTCAAAGAGTACAAAGTCTCAAATTCTGCACAGGAAGACTGAACTTCTCTTTCTACCGAACTTTCCAATCAAATGATCACTTACTATGCCAGTCTAAACTAAGCTTTATGCCTAATATAGGAAGAAAGTGTTTCAAATGCACAAAATCCAACCCATGTAATATGTAATGAAGTCTTTTTTTTTTTTGATAGTTGTAGAAGAACATAATAGATTGATTGTTTGATTGATTGATTGATTGATTTTTGTGCTGAGGATCAAACTCAGTGCCTCACACATGCCAGGAAGGCACTCTATCACTGAGCCACAATCCCAGCACTGTAATAACATCTTAATATCTATTTAAATGTAGTATAAAAATTTTAACAAATGGAGCTAACAGGAGAAATAAAGGATAAAGCCTTCATTTTAATTACAACTTCTATTTAATCCTTCACTTTCCAGGAATATTTTTAGTAGGCTTTAGGGCACACAATTAAAAAAATGAACTCATCAGTAAAATAAAAGGCACCGTATAAACAAATTCCTCTACTGCCACAAAGAAAAGAAATTTAAAAACCTCAAACTTCAATATTTTAGAAAACAAATAAGATTACATCATTAGCTACAATAAGATCCCAGAAGGAAAACCTCAGGAAAACCTCATTAATTTTGCCCAATAATGAAGACTCAATAATTTCAAGTCTGCCTTTATTTAATTTTGTACTATGTATTAAGAAACAATTACTAGGGGCTAGTGTTGTGGCTCTGTGGTACAGTGCTTGCCTGGCACATGCAGGGCCATGGGTTCAATACTGAGCATCACATATAAATCAATAAAATAAAGGTATTGTGTCCAACTACAACTAAAAAATTAATATCAAAAAAAGAAACAATTGCTAGGCAAACTAAAGTGCAAATAAAAATTGCTAGAGGATTATTTGATTTTAAGATTTTCACATGAAAAATTGCTTCTGCAATAATACTACTTAAAACTAGTTACATTTATTCTTTAGAATCCTGTATTCCAATAGAAATAAACTATATAAAATAGAGAATAAAACACTGGTTAAATT